GAGGAGGAGGAGGAGGAGGAGGGGGACCATCCAGAGGAACACGAGCGGACACGAACTCAAGCGAGGCACGGAGAACGGACGCTCGAGCGATAGCAAAGACCCTCAAGTACCATAGCGTCGGACGCGTCGCGCGCGCCGCTCCCCATGTCCGCCGGCTCCCGCGCAGAGTCGCCCGCGGGCCAGCCGAGCAAGCCGCCCGCGTGGCCCGCGGGGGACGGCAGGCCGCGAGCGGCCAGGCCAGACGAGGTCCTGCAGTGGGAGGAGCCTCCGACGGCGACGACGAGGACGACGAGGACGACGACGACGACGACGACGACGACGACGGCGACGACGACGACGACGGCGACGACGACGACGACGACGACGGCGACGACGACGACGACGACAACGACGACGGCGGCGGCGGTGGCGCCGGCGCCGGCTTCGGCGCCGGCGCCGGCGGAGGTGGCGGCTGCGGCGGCTGCGGCGGCTGCGGCGGGGAGGGCGAGGGCGAGGGCGAGGGCGGGGGCAACGCCGGGGGAGCGGATAGGCTCAGGGAGGTTTTCGGACGTTTTCGCTGGCTCCCTCAGGTTTTCCTGCCTCCGGATTCGTCTCAGCGGCTGCGCCTCGCCGAGAGGCGTCCGACGGTGCCCAGATCGTCCCAGATGGCCGCTAGAGACCCGATAACAGGACGACGAGGGTCACTGGAGGATGGGCTCAAGGGAGCGCATCGGCGCATCGATCCTCAATCGCCCACTCGTCGCCGATAGGGGCCGCCAGCCCAACCCGCCCAGGAACCTTCCGTTTCGACATCGGGGGCGTGTCGCCGATCTACAGTCGGGGCCCTGAAGAAGGAACCCTTTTCGTTGGGGAGGGGCTCCGTGTTCCTCAAGTGTTTCACAGCTTGCCTCAGGTTTTCCTTATGTTTTCGATCGGAAATCGAAGTTTAACTTACGAAAAAAAGGGGCCTCGTTCCTTATTCAGGGTTCCTTAGGTCACGCCCCGACTGTAGTGGCGATGTGTCGCCGATTCAAGCTCGATGTTCCCTCCCTTACGATAGCCGACCCCGTTACGATCGGTAGCAAGTCATGGGAACCACGTGGTCCCTCGCAGTGTTGTCATTAGCGTGCACTAGCTAGCGTCGGTGAGCGTCTGGTATATCGACGAGATAGCGCCGACTGGGCGTCGACCAGCCTCGGTTTAGTGCCGATTGAGCGTCGACCGGCGTCGATCCGCAAGAGAGAGCGACATGGCATGGGGGGGGTCCACGAGCTGTCGCAGCAGAAGGGTGCGCGCGTCGCCGATCCCTCGGCGACGTGTCGCCGACTCAAGCTCGGTGCTCCCCCCCCGGCCAGCCCCCCCTTTCCGCTGCCCCCTCAGGAGCGGGCAGCCGCGCCGGCGCGCGAGGCTCGGGGGAGAGGTCGTCGAGGATCGAGGCGTCTCCCCGCGTTCGGCGCACGGGTGACGTCTCCGTGGCCCCGGGCCGTCGAGGTTCGGCCCAGGTCTGCGACGACGCGACTTGTTCGACCTCGGCGCTTTTCCTCGTTGCGAGGCGGCTCCAAGATTTGATGTCTGGCTGGAATTGACGAGAGCTATAGTCGATATGCAGCCTCCCAGGGTTTCTCGTCGGATGGCGGCTAAGATTCGCGATGCGTCGAATGTTTGCCCCAGTACTCGTCGAACTCATCAACAGATCGCTCGACCTGAGCTCCCTGGGGAAGCGGTTGGGACCTAATTATAGCCTCTGGTCAGTTTCGTTCAGCCGACCCTTTGTCCCCATTTCTATCCAGACCCCCAGCATCTCGGCACCCCAGTTGGGGATATACCCAGCGAGACCCAAAGGAGTAGCCTACATTCCAATCTCGGGGGTAAATCGGCCGTAAATCAGCCAGTGGGGCCCAGGCCACGGGGAGAAGAGGTCGGTTACGGTCGGAACGTGGTATAAGATCGAGGTCGGGTCGGTGAGGGTACCATATTGTGCTTCGTGCTCGTTGGATGTTCTTGCGCATCCTGGGGGAGGGCCCCCTGGAATGTTGTGCGTCAGTTTGGCCGGCGGAGGCGTTCGTGTTCTTGCAGGATGCTCCCCTGTCCCAGGTCCAGGCGTGAACGAGGTCCACTCTGTAAGAACGGTTTTTTTGAAGGCAGATCTGCCTTCAAAAAACCGTTCTTTTTTGAAGGCAGATCTGCCTTCAAAAAACCGTTCTTACAGAGTGGACCAGTCTTTCCTCCTTGCAGATGGGACCGCGGATTGGGAGGATCACGTCGGAGGACGGCCGGGTCTCGGCGCTTTCGGCGCACGGGTGCCGTCGCCGGGCCCCCCCGTGGCCGGCGAGGCGCTCCATGTCCGGGGCGAGAAGCCGGGCCAGGGCGGGCTCAGGGGTTCGCTCTGGGAGCATTCGGGGTCGTACCCTGGAGGAGGAGGAGGAGGAGGAGGAGGAGGAGGAGGAGGAGGAGGAGGAGGAGGAGGAGGAGGAGGAGGAGGAGGAGGAGGAGGAGGACGAGGAGGAGGAGGAGGAGGAGGAGGAGGAGGAGAACGAGGTTGAGGAGGAGGAGGAGGAGGAGGAGGAGGAGGAGGAGGAGGAGGAGGAGGAGTTCGCCCTCCCGGGCTCCTGCTTCCCGGACTCCAGCGCCCGGTCAGGACATGCCTTCGGGGTGGGACGCAGGTCCTGCGGGCAGCCCCGTGGCCCAGGCCGTTTGGTCCTTCTGGGCGGTGAGCGCGCCCACGGGGGAAGGGCAGAGAGGGTGGGCCGCGTCAGGACGCCCTGAAGGCCTCCGGCTGTCTGAGAAGCTGTGGAAGCTCTCTCCCGGGTGTTGCTATAGAAGCACCCCTGGCCCGAGGTACCTGGTACCCTTTATGGGATTCTCGGGGTGGCCCAGACGGCCTCCAGGGCGCCCCTCACGAGGCCCAGAGGGCCCCAGCGGCTCCAGAATGGAGCGAAAAGCTGGGGGCACCTTGGGCCAGGGGCACTTCTAGCAACACCCGACTCTCCGAAACCACAGAGGGCTTCCCGGAAGGCCTGAGGGCTTCTGAGGAGCCCCGCCGCCTGCTGAGAGCGCTTGCGCCCTCTCACCTGCCTCCCGCGGAGCACCGCCGACTTCAGGACGCGTCCGTCATCCTGAAGTTGGCGGCTCGTTTTCCCCTGCTTCGGGGCGGGGGCTCCTGGCTCCTGGGGGAGCCCTGGCCTGCCTGGCCGCATTCGCATCGAGGTCCGGGTCAGAAGGCGCCCTGGGAGAAGTCCGTCAGCATCGTTTATCCGATCCCTCTCCCCCCATCCCCATTCCGATCCCAGCCATCACACCGCCCCAGTTGTGAATATGCCCCTCGAAACTCCAAGGGCACAGCCCATGTCCCCACCTAATTAGGGGGAGGGGGGGAAGCGGCCAGTGGGGCCCAGGCCACGCCCGTGGGCATAGGGATCGGTTAACCGATGCTCGGTCTGGGTCGAAGCTCTGTGGATCTTCCCGCAGGCTGGCCAGAGCGAGAGCATCCAGGTCGCGGTCCGCTTCCGGCCCCTCAGCGCTCGGGAGGTGGTGCGCCTCGCAAAAAAAGGCGAGCAGTGGCGAGGCGTCCTGGCTTGCCTACTGGCCCACCAAATGACGTTCTGAAAGCATGCCGTGGCCTGCGCGAAGCGTTCTTGGAACATCTCTGGCCGAGACCGCCTTGCTTTGACACGTCGGCCTCCCCGTCTGCATGTATCGCTATCGGAACAGTCGTTCGTTCTTGGCATATTCGGCGGCCAGCCTGTAGCAGTGCCGGGACGGCCAGCGTCGACTAGACGTAAGAGTAACCTTTCGCCGGAGTGACTTTTGGTGCGGGCCACATGGGGTCCCCCGATCGCCGAACGCGAGGCGGCAGTGGCGTCTTGCGCGCTTGTGTTTGGCCCCCCCGCGGCCCCCCAAAAGCCGCGCACCGAAGGTCACTCGTGCCCAGGGTCGCTCTTGCGTGTAGCCGACAGGAGGGCGGCCTGGCCCCCGCAGAGCACCTCCTCGCCGGCGGCGGAGGGCCCGCGGATGCCCCCGGCGGAGGCGGGCGGAGGGGCCCGCGCGGAGCGGCTGCGCCAGCGGAGGGCCGGCGGGAGGCCGGTGGAAGCAGAGAGCTGGCCTGCCAAGAGTCGGGTGGGTGGTAAGGGGGGGTGGCCTGGATTCGAAGAAGAAGGAGAAGAATACAGTGGAGGCGTTTGGTAAGGAATAGTCCCATGAGGCGCCAGACCCTGGAGGATTCCTTATCCAATGAGGGCGGTACGTGATATCCATGGCCGACCCACGATTGGTGTTCCATTGGCTTTCAGACCCTGGATTCCTTATGTAAGGGTTCCTTATCCAATGCCCCCACCGTAAGAAGAAGACGAAGAGACGCCATAAACATAAGCTTTTGGCGCTCCGCACGGATTTCTTGGCTCCGCGCTGGGCCCCCCCTGGCGGCGCCTCCGGTGCCGCCCCTGGCGCGCTCCGCGCGCCAGGGAGGGGGGTCCAGCGCGGATCCAGGAAATCTGCGCGGAGCGCCAACAGTTTATGTTTGTGCCGTTTTTGTTTTGAGGAGAGGGCCCTGAAGGGGCACTTTCGGGCCCCTTTTGGGCCCCTGCTGGCTCCGAGAGGGGCCCCAAAGTGCCCCATCTACTTAGGGCCCTCTCCTTCGCCCCCCCATCTAGATCACCCCCCATTTTACCACCCGCCCGGAAGAGGTACGATGCTGTTGTGACCAGGGTCGGCGACCAAGTCCGAGCCCTATTCCGGAGGGTGGAAGCACACAGGCACACGTAGTCGTCGATTCCCAGGAAAAGGATGGGAAGTGGAGGGGAAGACGAACATTCAGAGAGTATGGAAAATTCGGGGCATCCTAGGACTTGTGTTTATTTATTTCTGTTCCTGGGCCCCTTTACTTATCCCTGCCTACCATCGATTCAGGAGCATCGATTGTTGGTGGGGGTAGGGGTCGGATGTCGCCACGTACAATGGTTTCAGGGACAACGTCAGGAAGGGATGGGCTCAAGGGGGAATTCATCAACCCGCAATCGCCCATTCATCGCTGATGGGGGCCCGATCGGCCCACCTTGCCAGGGAACGTGCGGATTCGCTATCGGGGGCCTATCGCGGATCTATCGGCGATTCCAGGTCGATGTTCCCCCTTGAGTTGGTCATCCCTTATAGTTGCCCCTCAAGAGCCTCCAAGGTTGAGTCGGGCAGTGCCGCCGATACTAGTACGTGCGTGAAGTTCGGCCAGGACGGACAGTCTTGCACGTTGCGAACAAACACGCTGACTGGTCCTGTAGACCGGGCCTTTGGCTTCGACCAGGTGCTGCGACCGGAGGTCATCGGGAAGACAAGCTGCACACAAGCACATACATGTCTGGGAATATTTGGGGATGGGGGGGGGGACGTGCAAATCTGGGAAGAGGAGGGCAAGAACATAATCTTCGGGGAAAGAGATCAACACATATGATGTTCTACGGATGTGTATACGTGTGTGTTTCGGTGGTTCAGTGGACGTTAATTCGCACCAGGCTGCTCGTGCGTCAGTTTTAGCCCGAGTCGAGTTGCCTCGGTTTTCTGGCCGCTGCACGTTCCCCGGGATTCACGGTTCCTCTTTCACCCTATCTATTATTCATTCGACAGTGTGCGACGCTCTGCGCCTTGTGCCTTCGACGATGTCAGATCGCAGGTAGCACTTCCATCTGCTGTCGCGCCTGAGGACCCTCGACACCGCCGACTGAAAAAGTGTATGTGTGTGTGTGTTAGAGAGTTCGGGGGAGAGAGAGAGAGAGAGAGAGAGAGAGAGAGAGAAACCAAACAACAAAAAAAGAGGGATAGAAAGGGAGCTGGCCCAGCCCGCGCGCGCCTCCACGCTCGTTGTGTGTGTGTGTGTGTGCTTCACTGTCCCTGTCCTGGTCGTTTTGCCCTGAGACCGCCTTCCCTGCCTTGGGCTCCCTCGCGCTGCCTCGGGTTTCCCCGTGCTGGCCGACTGCCGTTCTGGCAGCCTCCTCGCTGCGCCACGCCTCCTGGCCTCGGCTCGGCACCGTCACGCTATCTTCAAGTCGGGCCTGTCCCTCTGCAGGGGGAATGTTCAAACATAGTCCAAAAATAGTCAGGGGACGATTTTATTTATCATTGTTTGCTTATTTTGGGGGCATTGTTCTGCGTATTCTTTATCTTTCGCCCAAAATCCCCTTGTAGGGGGACGCGCCCGACTTAACGCTATCTCTTCGTCGTCTTCCTGTTCTCCCTGCTTTCCCCCCTCTTTTCCCCTGCCCGCGTTCCCCTCGCGACTGCCGTTTCGCGAGTGCGGCCGTCGTCCCCCCTCGGGCGGACCCAGCTTCTGCGCGCTGCGTGAGCTGGCTGGATCCGCGCGCTCGTCGCTCGACTTGCCATGCGCCGCGCCGCCGCGCGCGTGGCTGCGACGCCAGAAATAATATATATATATATATATATATATGTGTGTATGTGTGTATATATATATATATATATATATACACGTGTGTGTGTGTGTGTGTTTGGGTGTTTGTGGTTTCTTTGTGGTCTTCTGGGCCCCTCTAGGCGAGCCAGGCCGAGGTGTACGATGCAGTCGCCGCCCGCATCGTGAACGGAGTCCTCGAGGGCTACAATGGCGCCATCCTGGCCTACGGGCAGACTGGCTCGGGCAAGACTCACACAATGCTGGGCCCGGATGGTGCCAGCGCGCTGCGCCGAGAGGCCGAGGTTTATCCTGGCAGGGCCTCGACTGATCTCTGCCTCAGCTTTCTGGGGTGCGTTCCGCTCGTTATCGCTCCCGTGTAAGTTTCGAATTCTAGACCGTGTGGGCCCATGCGCTCGTGAATCCGCGTGAAGGCAGAACGGATGCTCGAACGCCACCCCGCGGGAATCTAGTATGGGCACGCGCGCGCGTGCCAAAGTTGTGGCGAGGCACCCGCCCCTCTGGGGCTGCGCTGTCTCGTGCCTCTGTCGGTGCGCGCGCGTGCACATCCCAGCTTGCCGACGGTGTGGTCCACCGCACGGCTGAAAGGTGGATACTTGGCATGAGGGGAAGTGGGCATTGGACCCTGGGGCCTCCATACAGTACCGCCATCTCGTCTTGCGCCGTTTTCTGACAAACCCGGCGCCTGGGGAGGGCCTTGGGCTGAACGCAAGCGGCGAAAAGAAGTTGCGACAGGGCTCGGCCAAGGCCTTTGCCGGTGCGTCCCGACCACCTGGGCATCGTTCCCAGGGCCTTGCAGGCCCTCCTGGAGCACGCCAGCGTGCTCCAGGCCGAAAGTTGCCCGAGCGACAGGGCTGCCGAGGGCCCTGTGCGGCTGCGCGCCTCGTTCGTTGAGATCTACAACGAGTCCGTGTTCGACCTGCTGTCTCCATCTCGCCACGAGGGACGGGGCTCCGAGGGAGGTGGAGTCCTGAGGCTGCTGGCAGTCTTCGTCCCCCTGCAGGTCTTCCCGGGCCCCCCAGGCCGTCTCAATGCTCCCCACCCGATAGGAAGTTGACACCCAGGACCGATCTTCCTCGGGGCTCCCTTCCCTCACGGCATATCTGCTGGGGGGTCCACCGTCCAGGCGGCGATGCGCGAGCATTCTGGAGCGCTGCACCTGCCCGAAGTCACGGAGACGCCCATCGCGTCCGTGCGCGACGCCATGGATGCTATGCGCCTGGGGAACCGCAACAGGCACCAGGCAGAGACCAAGATGAACCGTCATTCCTCCCGTAGCCATGCCGTGTTCATCGTCTCCGTGATTAATAGCACCGACAAGGCCCGCCAGAAGTTTGCACAGCTATATCTCGTGGACCTGGCCGGCAGCGAGCGAGTCAAGCGGACAGGCGTGGCTGGACAGCAGCTGGAGGAGGCGAAGAGCATCAACAGGAGCTTGCTGTCGCTGGGCCAGGTGATTTGGGCTCTTGCCCACAAGCAGATCCACGTGCCCTACCGCGACTCCAAGCTCACCCAGTTGCTGCGAAACTGCCTCGGCGGCAACGGGCGCACCGCCGTGGTCGTCGCCGCGTCGCCTGCCCCGGACGACGCAGAGGAGACGCTGAGCGCCCTGCGATTCGGTGCCCGCGCCTCCCTCGTGGAGGTCACGGCCTACGAGAACGTCGCCGAGGACGCGCGCCAGCTGAAGCGCCTGCTCGAGAGCGCGCGCCAGGACCTCAACGAGCTGCGCGGGCACTGCCGGCGCCTGGAGGCCGAGCTGGCCGCCGCGGCCGCCGCTGACGCCGCCGCGCTCGACGGCCTGGGGCTGCCCGCGGAGGGGGGCGAGCCCGCGCGGCCCGATGCGGCCAGGCGGCTGCTGGTGCGGGGCCTGCTGCCGTCGCTCGTGTGCCCGCTGGCGCGGGCGGTGATGTGGGACCCGGTGGTCGCGGCCGACGGCTGGACGTACGAGCGGGCCGCGATCGAGCGGCTGCTCCGCGCCCCCGGGCGCGCTGCACCGAGGTCGCCGGTGACGGGGCAGCGCCTGGGGGGCCGCGCGCTGGTGCAGAACCTGGTGGTGAAGCAGCTGGTGTCTCTGTACCTGCCGGACCTGCCACCGCCGCGGGCGCCGCTGCCCGCGGTGAGGCTGCTGGCCCCGGAGCTGGCCCAGCTGCTGCTGTCGTTCCTCGACGCGCGGTCTCTTGCCGCGTGCGAGGCGAGCTGGCCCTCCTTCCTGGACGCCTCGAACTGCTCGGCCGCCTGGGCGCGCCTGCTGGCGCTCGACTTCCCCGGCGCCGCGGAGGCCGAGCAGCCGCAGGGCGAGCAGCCGCAGGGCCGCAGGCTCTACGCTCACCTGGCGGCGACGGGGCCTCGGTCGGCAGGCCCCAGGATCGGCCACGCGCAGAAGGGCGGCCGTTCTCGAAGAAGACAAAAAGCGCCAGAAAGGCACAGCGGGGGCGCTGAAGAATCGGGGCTGGACAGGCCTCCTACCCGGACACGTCGATTGAGGAATTGGCCGTTTTCGGTTCGCGAGAGGGCGTCGCGGCCGTCATTTTTGCGGGTCCAGGTCCGTCGGTTTCGGCCCCAGGCCGTTTTCACTAGGGGGAGGTTTACTAAAGGGAGGTTTGTCCACCGCCAAAAGAAGACACTTTTCGTTGGGAAGGAGCTCCGTGTTCCTCAGTTGTTTCGCAGGTTGCCTCAGGTTGTCCTTAGCTGTTCGATGGGAAGTCGAAGTTTAGCTCATGGGAAAAGGGACCTCGTTCCTTATTTCGGGTTCCTGAGGTCCACGCCCCGACTGTAAACTTTTTGCGCTCCGCGCGGGTTTCTTGGATCCGCGCTGGGCACCCCTGGCGGCGCCGCCGCGCGCTCCGCGCGCCAGGGAGGGGCGCCCAGCGCAGATGCAAGAAATCCGCGCGGAGCGCCACAAGTTTGTGTTTTTCGCTGTTTTTTCTCCTTCTCCGTTCGCCGGAGTGACCTCTTGGAGCGGGCACGGTGGGGTCCCCAGGTGGCCGAAGGCGATGCGACAGCAGCGTCGTGCGCGCTCTCGGGTTTGGCCCCCACTGCCCCCGAAGAAGGTCGCGCACCCCAAAGGGCACCTCCTGCCTGGGGTCGCTACTGCGTGTGGCCGGCAGGAGTCCGGCTCCAGCGTCCAAGGGGTTGGTGCTGCGACGAGGCCGCCCGGATTCTTGCCCAGCCTCCTGCTGATGTCGCGGAGCTCCATCGGGGGCCTCGAGGTCAGCACCAGCACCGATACGTGCGGTGTGCCCCCCCGAGCGAAGAGCTCCCGGCCATCCATCCTCTGAGATGAGCGAGCTGCCCCATCATACGAGATCGAGAGCACCAGCATGCACGCGACCACTAAGCCTGATCGTGCATGGTGTTGTGGAGCCTCGCTGGAGGTTTGTACAGCTGCCTCGGCAGGAAAACGCCATGCTCCGGCTCAGATTTGAACCTTGCCAGCTTGCTCACCGTCGCAGAAGTAGAGGAACGACAGGAAAACAAGGGTGCCCGACATTGTTTGCAATTCGGGAAGGCTCGTGGGCCGACTGGACGCAATGAATTGCAGTGGTACCCCGTATGGTTCCCGAGCCGCTGCAGCAGAATCACAGCCACATCAATAATTAATACTATTGAGGGAGATTTTTTGCGAGAGCTCCCGTTTGCCCGTACCTGGTTTCCGCAGCTTCGCCCAGGTCGGGCGACGATAATTACACGCCGGTCGTTGAAGGTAGGTACTTTTGGATCCCCCGATACCACTATTGTTTTAGCCGCCTTCCTACTTCAAGAGTCGAGCGGTTCTCTCTCTGTCTCTCTCTCTCTCTCTCTCTTCCTTCCTCTTCAGGGGGCGGGCGCAAGCTGAAGTCGGGCCTGTCCCTCTACAGGGGGAATATTCAAAGTAGGTAAAAGAATAGTCAGGGGACGATGTTTGGACAATGTTTGACCATTTTGGTGTATTTTTGTCGACTACTCTTTATTTTTTCGTCCAAAATCCCCCTGTCCTGTAGAGGACAGGCCCGACTTAAGCAGAAGCCCGACCTGCCCCCAACGCCTTCCTACATCATGGTTCTGCCCGCTGCTTCCGACCGAGGGGTGCGTGCATGCGCCGATCCTGGTCAGGCCCGTCCGGGGCCCAGGACGGGCATGGCCTGGTGTGGAGGAGGAGGAGGGAGGAGGAGGCGGTAGGAGGAGGCAGGAGGAGGAGGAGGAGGAGGAGGAGGAGGAGGAGGATCAGGAGGAGGAGGAGGAGGAGGAGGAGGAGGAGGAGGAGAAGGGGGCAGGAAGAAGTGGATGAGGAAGAGGAGGATTTGGAGGAATGAGGGGGGAGGAGGAGGCGGAGGAGGAGGAGGAGGACAAGAGCAACCCTGAAAGGTATCAGCGATGTTGTAATGACCCCTTTCTCCAAGGTCCCTCTTCATAGGTCCCTGCAAGAATTGGTTTTCATTGCGGGAAGTGCCCCATTGAAGGGCAATCGTTTGAGAACCATCCAGCGTGCCAAAACACAATTCCTGTGACGTCAGAGCCGCTAATCAACGTGACTGTTGCGTCCTGACAATCCTAAACCGTACCAGAACTCCGTTACTGGGACTTCACTCGCACGAATACTTGAAACTGCTGCAGACTTTCAAGACAGGTGTGCGCAGCGTCGAGGCGACAGCCACATCTTGAAACGGAACCGCCCTCCATCCTTGAACGCTGCTGGTTTCACAACGAATTTACATGCCGCCGATACCAGAGCCACTTTTTGAAAACGGTCCGCCCTCCAGACAAATCTGCGCGGCGCTGAGGCGAGAACCAGATTTTGAAAACGGCCTCCATCCGTGAAATTGCTGCAAGCTTGTAATTCACATGTGTTCAGCGCTACAGCGAAAACCATGTCTGAAAAAGGCCCGACCTCCAACCGTGAAGCTGTTGCACACTTTTGAGACGAATATGCGTGGCGCTGAGGCGAGAGCCACATTTTTGAAAACGGGCCGCCCTCCATCCGCCACGCTGTTGAAATTGTAAGTTCAGGGTCACAGGTGGCGAAGAAGTCCCATGCGAAACAAACGGCCCGCCCTACTAACAAATGTGGGGGTGCGACAGGGAGGAGTTATGAGTCAAGTCAAGTGATAGTGGCGCAGCCGGACACGGAGGGGCAGTGAGGCAAGGAGGCGGGGGAGGAAGGAGAAGGAGGAGGAGGAGGAGGAGGCGGAGGTCCGTCCACGCGAAGCTTGGCTGGGAGAGCCCCCCCAGTGCACAGCACCGAACCCTGGGAGCAACGAGGAGGAGGAGGGGCGGGGGAGGGAAAGGGCGGAGGGAGGACGAAGGGAGAACAGGATGAGGGACAGAGAGGAGGAGGAGGGAGAGATGGGTGGCCAGTCGAGCGCTGGGCGTGGCGGAGCATTACCGGGGCGTGGAGGTGTTGGAGGAAGTCAGCGGGCGTGGGCGCGCCAAAGATTGCGCTCGCCGCTCGAGATGGGAGGGATGGGTGGCACCACCATGCAGAGAGTGGCCTGGGCGACCCCTGGGGCCGCCCCCCAGGAGTACGGCGCGGAGCCGTCGCGCCGCCTCCAGGCCCAGCGCGGGCTCTCCGCCGCCGCCCGCGCGGGCCGCCGCCACCGCGCGTCGTCGCCGCCCGCGCCGTCGTCGCTGTCGTCGACGGCATGGTCATCGTCCCACCTCCTCCCCGTGCTCCTCCTGCTCCTCCTCCTCCTCCTCCTCCTCCTCCCCTCCTCCTCCTCCTCCATCTCCTCCTCCTCCTCCTCCTCCTCCTCCTTCTCCTCTCCTCCTCCCCTCCTTCCCTCCTCTTCCTCCTCCTCCTCCTCCTCCTTCCCCCCTCCTCGTCGTCCTCCCTCCTCCTCTCCTCCTTCCTCCTCTTTCTCCCTCCTCCCTACTCATCCTCCTCCTCCGCCTCCTCTTCCTTCTCCTCTTCTTCCTCTTCCTCCTCCTCTTCCTCCTCCTCCTCCTCCGCCTCCTCCCCCTCCTCCTCCTCCTCCTTCTCCTCCTCCTCCTCCTCCTCCTTCTCCTCCTCCTCCTCCCCGCGGCTCCGCCCTGACCGCTGCCGCGCGGGGCGACGCCTTCGCTGTCGAGGCCGCGCCCGCCCCTCCCGGCCGCGGCGCTCCAAGGCGCCGCCCCGCGGAATTTGGACTCGTCGAACCGATCATGGACGCGCAGTGTATGCGCCCGACAAAGAGCCGATCGTGATCAACGAACGACGTGGTGATCCACCGCAGCCACAGCATTTCAGTTGACCATGGGCAGTTTCGGTGTTTGGAATTGTGCGCCAGTTGGGTCACGCAGTGATGATGGACATGGACGGCTGGACCTCCTGGCGACGAAGTGCAGAAACAAGGTCTCGCCCAGTGGCCAAACGGTACTTCGACGCCTACGACGCGGACTACCTCCAAAGGCTGGACAGAATTGGCCTGGCGGAGCGGTGCCACCTAGCGGTGGCAGACTACCACGACTCGCTGCTGGGCGTCGCCATGCAGCTGCAGTGCGATTTTCGCGGTTCACTACGTGGCTTGGGGCTTCGGCGCCGCAGGTATATTCTGCCCTGGAGTGGCAGGGGGGTGGAGGCCCGCCGTGTCTCTGGGGTGGTCTCGCTACTTCAGAGCCCGAGCGGCGCGCGCGGGCGCGGGGGCGCCGCCGAACCGACTGCGCTGCCCATTGTTTGCCCCTCCTGCCGACTGAGTTTCTCCTCCACCTCCTCTTCCTCCTTATTTTCCTCCTCAAGCTGACTGCCCCACCCACTAACTGACTGACTGATTGACTGACAGACTGAGTGACTGGCGCAAACCTGAAGAAAGACTCCCAGGCGCAAATACGTTGCACATGGAGGACCTGATCAAGGAGTAAGCGAACACGCGCTAGCAACGTTGGGCTCTCAGGTGTCTGACATGGGCTCGTGGGGGCCGCCCTGCTTGCTGATGCAGGCCTCGATACGGCCTGGGTCCCGCGGGGGCCGATCGCTCGGCTGCGGCCGCCTGCTGGTGTGGGAGGGCGCGGCTGGAGTTTTTCCAGAGCCGATGCGATTCAAAGCCTGGTCCCGTACAGCGGCGGACGAGCGCACGGGGCACTGGGCGATGAGGGAGAGGAATGGGCAGAGGGAAACATTTTGCGTAAGTCGGGAGGGGCCTTCAAGGGCCCTGGACCCCGAGGGGCATATCACTGCCCAGGATCGGGCCCCGGACCAACAGGAAAGCCTGGGACACAACTCGTATGGATGCGTGCGAGCGGTAGCTTTACAGCTACCCATTCGCCGCCCGTTGTCCTCCTCCTCCTCCTCCGCCTCCTGCTCCGCCTCCTCTTTCCTTCCTCTTTCTCCTCATCCTCCTCCTCATCCTCCTTTTTCGGCTCCTCATCCCCCTCGTCGTCGCAGTCTTTGGCGTGTTTGCGGAGGCATTCGGTAGTTCGTTTGCGGGATCCTGGGGGCCTTCAGGCCCTCGGGTGTTTGGTTTCCAACGGCAGTGCCTCGTCCTGGATTTCGTTTCCCCTGCTCCTCCTCATCTTTTTCTTAATCTCTCTTCCTCATCCATTTTGCCCTTCCTCATCTTCTTAGTTGTTCCAACCTCTGCTCCTCCTATCCTCCGCACCCGCACCTGCCTTCTCCTCCTCTTCCAGAACAGAATCCAGATCGACGGACGACGGCGACCGACGACGACGACGACACCGACGGACGACGACGACGACGACGACGACGACGACGACGGCGACGACGACTACGACGAGGCCGACACCGACGATCGACGACACCGGCGACGTTAACGACGACGACGACGACGACGACGACGACGCTGACGACGGCCGACGGACGACGGACGGCCGGACGGATGACGACGACGACGAGGACGACGACGACGACGACGATGACGACGACGCCGACATCGACGACGACGACGACGACGACGACGACGACGACGACGACGACGACGACGACACCGACGACGATGGCGGCGACTAGGACGACCAAGACGACGACGACGCTGACGAGGGACGACCGACGACCGACGACTGACGATGGACGACGGACGACGGACGGACCGACGGACCGACGACGACGAGGACGACGACGACGACGACGACACCGACAGCGACGACGACGATGACGACGCCGACGACGAAGACGACAACGATGACGACGACACCCCCGCGTCAGCCCGCACAGGCTGCGGCCGCCGCCGCTTCGGAGCGCCAGGCGATCGAGCAGCTGCAGGCCCAGGGGAGTAGGAGGAGTAGGAGGAGGAGGAGCAGGAGAAGGCGGAGGAGGAGGAGGAGGAGGAGGAGGAGGCAGAGGCGGAGGAGGAGGAGGGAGAGGCGGAGGAGGAGGAGGAGGAGGGGGAAGAGGAGGCGGAGGAGGTTGAGGAGGAGGAGGAGGAGGAGGAGGAGGAGGAGTAGGAGGAGGAGGAGGAGGAGGACTGGGAGATGGAAGAGGAGGCGGAGGAGCGGAGGAGGAGGAGGAGGAGGAGCAGGAGGAGGAGGAGGAGGAGCAGGAGGAGGAGGAGGAGGATGAGGAGGCGGGCTCTTCGAGAGAACAGCCCGACTGGAACCAGCAATACCGCTGTTTCTGCCAGGAGACCCTCTGCACCTTTCCCGCCGCCGCCCCCGCCGTCCAGTGGCGGTCGCAGCAGCAGGTTGAGCAGTAGCAGCATTCACAGTAGCAGTAGCAGCAGTTGTGGATAGTCTGAACTATGCCCTCGGTACGAGCGCAGGAGGTGAGGTCCATGCTACTCTTCTCAAGGTTGGCCTGATCTTGCGCTCGAGGAGTGAGTGGGTGTTTCTTTGGGGCATTGGCGCTGACCCTTGCCGAGGTGTGTGGTTCTCCCTTCCAGCGCATGCCAACGCACGCGAAGTTTATCTCCAGCAACGCAAGCAGGTAACTGATCACCTGTCGCTGTCCGAGCTTGTCTGACGAATATCAACTCAATGTTCAAGTGGTTGAATCCAAAGGTCTGACCAGAGCAGCGCGCTTGTCTCAGTCCATGTGTCGTAGGCGGACAATGCCCCAGGAATCGGCAGTGGGCTTGCGGGTATGATGTTCAACTGTACTGCAGATCATGTCTTGGTGTTTGGCAAGAGGAAGTTGGCGGCACTAGACTCCACAGGCGCACTGACTGTGAACGCGCAGGGAGGAGCCCCCTGTTGTTGTGCAGGGTCTCAAGCAAGTTGTTGGCGCAAGTTCTTGCTGAGCGTTGTTCGGTTCCTCTTCCCGTTTTCACGAAGATCGATCTGGCGAATATTCACAGGGAGCTTTGATTTCTTGGCGATTGTCCGGGCAGTTTTCTTTATGGCTCTGTGTTCGAAGGAGACTGGCCAAACGTTTGTGCTACAGGGTGGGTGGTTGTTGCTCTCATGCCGTTCGCGCGCGAACCCCAGATGCATCGCGCGTGGACCTTTGATGAAGGACTTGCCCATCATCAGTGAGTGTGAGCTTACGCTGCTTAAGTTTGCGCTGCGTTGTTACATGCTTGGCGGTGTGTTTCATACCGATAGCGACTATGGTTGGAAAAGGTCTGTTCAAGAGAGGCCAAGACGAACACTACCATATCATGGTTCCGCACGCTCATCTCTGGCGAGAAGTTAGCAAGACAGGTATCAGGGAATAGCCAGTCGTGCGGTGAAGAACAATACGTATTCCACGCTTCGGGGCTCCAAGTCCGGTCGAACCACCAAGCGTCATAATGCTGGCAATGTGCTAGCTGATAGATTGGCCAAGTGGCCTGCTCAGGCCTCCAGGGCTCCTGCTGAGCAGCTGCAAGCTGTCAAGAACCGCACGCGCATCCTCAAGGAGTGGTGCAAGTGGGTTGCAAAGGTCGGGTGGGCGACGACACACTCCACCCGTCGTAGGTTAAGAGGTACCGCCCTCCTCAACCAACAGTGGTACTGGTGCAGGACGGCCACCCCTCACTCCGCGAGCGGGTACTCGCTTGCTCCAGGAACTTCGAGGACGAGGGATTGAGGCCGCACCAAATCGTTCAGGTTTATCTTTCCGCTGACGTCATCCTTGTCGGTTGTTTTGCGTGCTCTGTTCTCAGCTCAGACCGTCTTGCCACTTTGTGTCTGCCTCGCAATGCCAGGAGAGCGGGGTGGGCGACCAAGTCTTGGAACCGTCTGAACAACGGAGAGCACAGGCATGTTGGCAGAGGCATGTTAGCAGACCCCGAGAGGGTACGCGATGCATGGTAGACCACAGCACAGCTTGGCGTAGAAGACCACGGCTGAGCTTAGCATGTCAAAGCATGGCGCAGCATTGCGTGGTGACTCTTGACATAGCATGGACACGCAACGCATGGCATCGGATAGCAGCACAGACATCAACGCCGCCCAGCGCATGTCATGGCATGGCACTAGGTTCCTTGGGGGGTAAGTGGATCGTCTGGGTGCGGTCTGGGCCTGCTAGAGCTGCCCATTCATAAGAGTCGGCTCCACGGCGCCAGGTGTGGAAGGTCACGACGCGCAGAAAACAGGGCGGGGACACGCGACCCAATTCCGATCCTGTGGTACGGCGATCGTTGCGGCGAGAGCGCCAGTCCGTTGGGCGGGGTCTCCATGGCAACTATGTAGGATACTTGGCCAAAAAGCGCGGAATGAGGCCAGCGCTTCAGCGGGAAAACTTGTCAGAAAGGATCAAGAACGACGCAGTGAACCGAAAACGCGGAAACGGAGCCAACGTTGCAGCGGGAACGCCATTTTGAAGAAGACCGCGGTATAAGGGTAACGCTAGAGTGGTAGCACCAGTGAGAAGGGCCACGAACACTGACACTGGCTGAGAACATGGAAACTGAGCCAACGATGAGACGGGAACGCTTTTGTGGACGAGCCGGAAGTGCGGAAACGAAGCGCACGTAAACCAAACATCAGTTAGCGCACATCCTGTGTGTAAAAAGCCATACGCGGAGGGGGAGCGAACGCGTCGGATTGGAATCGCACATACGAAAAACCAAACTAGTGAACCCTGTGTGTGCGTGTGTGCGTGCGTGCGTGGGTGTGTGTGTGTGTGTGCAAACCAATACGCGGAGAGGGGCGGGCTACTTCTTCATCAGCCTCGGGGCGAGAGGGGATACGTATTCATAGTGTGAAACTGTGGAGGGCGACGGGGAGAGGTAGGGGAAAGGGAGGAGGAGGAACGGAGGATGGGGAGGCGGGGCAAGGAGGTGCGGGGATTCGGCACTGATGGCGCAGCAGCGCTCCACGAAGGCGCCGGAACTGGCACACATCAGCGAGCAGGATCTACCCACTCGACGCTTGTAAGGCCACCCCCGGAGTAGCGGGCGGCGGCCCTGGAAGTTGATGCACGGGGGGGTGCGCGCAGGGGGAGGAGGAGGAGGAGGAGGAGGAGGAGGAGGAGGAGGAGGAGGAGGAGGAGGAGGAGGAGGAGGAGGACGAGGAGGCGGTGATGATGATGATGATGATGATGATGATGATGATGATGATGATGATGATGGTGATGATGCTGGTGATGATGCTGATGATGTTGATGCTGATTACAATGCTGATGCTGATGCTTATGCTGCTGATGATGGTGATGATGATGTTCATGGTTATGATGGTGATGATGATGTTGATTGTGATGATGATGATGATGATGATGATGATGATGATGATTGATGATGATGCTGATGATGATGATGATGATGATGATGATGATGATGATGATGATGATGATGATGATGATGCTGATGCTGATGCTGATGATGATGATGATGATGATGATGGCGGTGATTGTGATACTGGTGATTGTGATGGTGATCGAGATGGTGGTGATGATGATGCTGATGATGATGATGATGATGATGATGATGATGCTGATGATGATGATGATGATGATGATGATGATGATGATGATGATGATGATGATGATGATGATGATGATGATGATGATGACGAAGGGGATGATGATGACGAAGGGGATGATGATGATGAGGAGGAGAAGGAGGAATAGGAGGAGGAGGAGGTGATGGAGGGCCAGGATTAGGAGGAGGATCAGGTGATGGAGGGCCAGGACTAGGAGGAGGAGGAGGAGGAGGAGGAGGAGGTGATGAAGGATGTGGGGGAGCAGCAGGAGGAGGAGGAGGAGAAGGAGGAGGAGGAGGAGGAAAGGGAGGTGGTGGAGGTGATCGAGGAGGTGGGGGAGGAGGTGACCGGGATTCGAGAGTCGAGTACCAGGGTTTCAGCATCGAAGGGTAGTGGCGTTCTTGGTTTTCTCGGTCCAGTCCACAGGGAGATTCCCCGTCGAGGCCCGATGATATCGAGGCTGCAGGTTCGAGGAACGAGGAGCGAGGAGGAGGTGCTCCTGATCCCGTCTCCTCCCTCCCACCCCTTTCCCTTGGTCGTCCTTCTCTTCTTTCTCCTACTCCTTCTCCTCATCCTTCTTCCCCCTTCCCGTATGGGGGAAGCGGCCGTCGGCACCAGCAGCATCAGCAGGAAGGTTGAGCGGCATCGGCAGTGAAGGCAGAAGACCCCAAGTCCCGCGCCCCCCCCCCTCCGTTGGCAGACCCGAGGCCTTTTTCTGCTGGTTCCGCGAGCACTTCCCGTACTACCGCGGCGCTTGTGGCAAGTGCGGTGCCTCTCTGCATGCTTGTTTGGGGCCCGGCTCGATCGGAGGAGAGTCGATTTATTTTCGGGGCGCTTGTTCGGCCCAATGTGTGCTTGTCCCGTGCAATTCCTCCAGAAGCGCGCAGCATGCGTCGGCGCAGTCCATAGGTTTGCTGCCTCGATCGTCTTCCTCCTCCTCCTGCTCCTCCTCCTCCTCCTCCTCCTCCTCTTGCTCCTCCTTCTCCTCCTCCTCCTCCTCCTCCTCCTCCTCCTCCTCCTCCTCCTCCTCCTCCTCCCCCTCCTACTCCTACTCGAACGGTACGTATCCTACCTATCCTTGCTCTCTGCCTGCCTTAATTGTATCCCTTTTCCACTGCCGCTTGGCTCAGTGGGCACGGGAGCCTGCAGCGCTCCCGTGCCCGCACTTTACGAGCATCATTCACCGCAGCATGGTAAAAAGTCATCTTTTATCACCACCCTATTCAAAGTTGGTAGCGGAGCTCTGGCTCCCTTCCACCACCTTCATCCCTCACGCCGCCATGGCCCGCGCGGCACCTCCGCCAGTCTCTTGTTCGCCTACCTCGTTACCACATCCTGGATTTCGTTTTTGGCAAGGTTCATCCTCTGGACCACCATGTCATCTGCATCCATGTCCCGCACGTGCGCTGAGAAATACAGCAATGACAACTACCTGTACAAACGCGACGTCATAATCTACAGGGAGCGCGGCGCCCTCCCGCCGCCGCCGCAGCCTGCTGCTCTCCTAGGGCGTGTTCCAAGTCGCTTTCGATGCATCGGGCCTCTCGCTGAAAATAAGGATCAGTTCCCATCAACAGCGTCGGCACGTGGTCCCGAACGCCCCGCAAGTGTGCTTCGAACTCCCTAGGAGCCGCAGGCGGATGAGAGCGCGAATGGAAGTTGGAGCCCCGCGGGGTGTTGGACAGTTTTGTTGTCATACTTCCAAGAAGCAGTGCCGCAAACTTGGGAATACTTGTCTACGTTATCTTGGCGCTTGACAGCCCATCGCATCCATCGGTTTCTTGCATGTTGGCAGGGCGAGATCCCGATGCGCACTCTGCTGGACGTTTGTGACGCTAGCGGCCCCCAGCACATTGACGACGCGGCACACGAGGGGCACGAACGCAATTATGTTGCGAAGTATCCCGGGTTTGAAGATAGCGGTAACGACTCGATAGAGGGCAATACCCTGTGCGCTGACGAGGAATAACATATCCGGGGCACAGACCCACGACATTTCAGAGGCTCGCGGTCAGAGCAAAGCCGTAGTTGGGCCCCCAGCATCTAGCACCTCCTCGATGTGAGGAGGGACATTCATCCTGGATGGAAGGCCATCGGAGTGGGCACGCTCGCTCTGGCAATCTGCCTCGCCTGCGTGGACGCAGGGGCCCGAGACGGCAGCGCGTGGCGCCTCCGCGCCTGGGGGCCCGAGCAGCACTTGCGAGTTCCCTTCCAATGCTGGGTGCGGCAGGTGATGATATAGTCACTGGCAGACTCTGACCTCGACGGGTTCCCCCGGGCGGCCGACGTCTCGCCGCGACGCCAGCATGGCCATCGACGACAACCCAGTGCCACTGATGACTATCCCGATGCGCAGTTTGGCCGAATGTTGGGGCCAACCTGGGCGAGGAGGAGCGAACCTCGGCGTTCCCAGCGCTGATGATCTTCACTCGATCGCCACAGGAATGCATCGGCAACCTCCCGCGCGTTTCCACATCCTCTGCGATCGCGCGCAGCAATCTGGTCAATTCAGGATCGGCCACGAGCGTCTCAGCATCCCCCTCTTGCCCTCTTGCGCGCGGCGGGAGTTTTCAAACGCGCAACTGACCGTGACCTACCCGACCAACGCAGCACAATTCGCACAGATGACGAGCCAAGTGCGACGCTTTGGGTACATGATCGAGGGATTCACTGGCAATCTCGCCTCAGCGGTGCACTCAACCCAACGGCAGTCATTCCTCTCGGGTACGCACGCGCAAGATCAGGCCCATTGTGCCCGCGGCACTGCAGCCGGATCAAGCTGGGGCCGCCTGGGCCAGCATTGGGAGCGGCACCGAGCCCTGCTGCGCAAGCACCGCCAGCACAGGAGGCACCCCGAGCAGCTGCCATTGGTTCAGGCACCGGCACTGACGCCATCAGCTTATTCGAAGTCGGAAAGATAGCCGCCGACGATCCCGAGCAACGCGATGTTCCTGTGGGACAGCGTGGCGCACGCCTGTTCTCGGCCACAAGTCCGCGAGCAGTTCGCCGACCCCACGCGCCAGAACGAGCGCCAGCGCGCCCGCGTCGAGGGCCGCGATGCGCCCGAGATAGGCCATGAAAGATTGCCGAACGACTGGCGCGAGCTATCGTGGATTTACGCCGCCGCCTTAGGCGCCAAGATAAGACGAATTTCGTTCGCGAGTGCGACGTCGCCGAGGCCGGCTTTCCAGCGGTGGTGCCCGGGGCCGATGGGGGTCAGATCCAGACTGAGATGGCCGCCGAGCTCGCGCATTAATGCAAGGTGTGCAAGCGCAATGCGCGGGCGGACATGCCCATGCGCCCCCGGGATCCAAACGCGTGCCGATGCCCCCACAGTGCCCCCCTTCCGTTGGGAGTGCCCAGGCTGCCGCGCGGAGAAGAATCTCGATCGCCCGGCGCGCGCGCGCGTTCAGCAAGTACGGACTCGCAAGTGCAAATTCGCGGACCCTCGCATCAGGCCGCGCCCACGCGCTGGCCAACATCTTCGAGCGCCAGCGCGACCTGAAGGACCGCGTCACTCCAGCGACCAGCAAGCTCAGCTGCCAGGAGGAGCCGGCTTGTGGCAGCTGATGAAGCTGCGCTGCCACCGCCGCCTTCAGGCGCGCCAGGAGCTAGCTCTTCATCCTATGCTGAGTCTTAGGGAAGCGGTTCTGACGCCTGCGTCGCTGGGCCACAGAGTTCTGGTCCGGGCGACTGTGTCACCGGGCCGGGGCTGCGAGCCCGCCCAGTTGCAGGGAACGTGCCGAGACGGACGGAACCACGGGCCGCCGGCGCATCAGTCGGCAACCCAACCCCCTTCCGTCGCTGCAAGTGCTGCGTGGGGGCTTGCGCGAGACGCGCATGCGAGAGCGGCGCAAATTGCACCTCGAGCGGTGGCGCGCCACTACGGGGGGCGCGGTTCGAGCACTGCGCGCAGCCAACATGCCCCGGGACATCCTCAACCACACGCCCACGTCAGCAACTGCAGGGGGCTCCGCAAGCGGCAGCCACCAGCGCAACAAACGACCCCTGCACTCCGACCCCCAACGCGATTCAACCAGCGCGTCGAGCGCGACATCTTTTACTACGAGGCTCGCATGATCACGTCTGGTCTGCCGCGCCTCGCGCTGGCACAACGACCGCGAGGTCGATTAAAAAGAAGGCTCGACGCTGCTCGCAGCCATCGACGGACCACGGGTCAAAAGTTTCGGCGCTATGGCGACGTTTTTCGTGGGCGGAGAGGGCGGCGCGGCCTCTGTCTACTTCGCGGAAGACATGAAGAGGCGAGGGGCGCAGGTGGATCATCGTACGCTGCGACAGCGCGCTCCCTTCATCGAAGGGCGCGGCGCTGTGTTACAACGCGCGCCTCGCGCCGCAGAGGAGTCGCTGGGGCGCGGAGGCATTGCGGCGAACTTCGACGCCATATTTGTTCACGCCATATATGCGGGCAACAGCCTCACCCATGTTGGCGGCGCCGCGCCATGCAACGTCGTCTTCAGGAGGCAGCCGTCTATGCTGCCGCCGCTGGAAGCAGACGAATCGGGCGAGGTGCCCGGCGATTGCGTCGCTATCGCACTGATCCTTCAGCTGGCGGGGAAACGCAGCCAAGCCGACTGCAGCATGTAGTGGATCAGCGATATAGCATTGCAGCGCACGATCGAGGCCGCACCCATCTCCCGCGTCAGCTTCGCCCTCCGGACACGCGCCACTGAGTCCGGCGAGGGGCAGGTCAACGCTGGCGACCAGGTGGGGCACCAAGGACGCATCAGGTTGGGCGGGCCCAGGGACTGTCATGTCTGTCGATCTGGCTCAAGGAAGGGTATCGCCTAAGTACCGTCGAGCCGATTCGATCTGCAGACTGCAGGACGCCGGGTCCTTCATCGGCGCCGTTTTCGACGACGTGGGCACCAGCCCAGCTTGAGCAGGCCTGGCTTAGCCGAGTGGAGGGCTTCATCGGGCACGTCATAGCAGGCTCTGGCACCAGGACCTTCGGCCACTGGGAGGTGGCGAGGGGCGCGCAGATGACCGCGCAGACGCGGCGACGCCCAGACATCCTCGAAGCTCCACGCCACGTGCCCCGCAGATGCTTCCAGCTTCCAGACGTTCGCGCCGCGCGTCTACGGCGCGGCCAGAAATCCGTGGGAGATCGGCTGGGGTGCACCCGCAGCGCGGGTGATATCCAGCTGATTCACATGGGCGGCTTCAAGTTCGACGCCCGCGCTGTAATTTCATCGGCAAGCAGTGGATGGACGCTCGCATCACGCAATTCACCCTGGCTGACGAGACGACGAGACGCTTATTGCAGCAGTGGCCGGACAGGGCCCAGATGGGGCCGTTTATGACTGTGTCATCGACGCTCCTGAGGACGCTGTCAAAACCACTGAGGGAGGATCGCCGTCCGCACTGTCGGCCATGCCTTAGGAGATCGGCAGCGATATTTCGCGCCGCACCCAGCAGGCGACGTTGGCAGCGTGGCGCGAAGTGGCAGAGGGCCAGGCCCAGGAGATGGAGGCGCCGGAGAGCGACGACGGCCGTCGAGCACGTTGCGGCTGGTCTTGGCCGCTGGCCACGCAAATGGCCCCAGCGCCTCGGGGCGCAACGCCTGCGTCGCGGCGTTCACGAGCAGCGCCGCTACTCTTTGCGCGGCGCCGCCCTGGGCCACTACGCCGCGCTAGAGGGGGTGGCGAGCGAGGAAGACGCGCGGAGTGGTGCCTCGACCCAGGGGCGGGCGCAGCATTCCTGAGCTTCAGCGAGGAAGCTTCCAGCAACTGCGTTGCCGGCGCTTCCTTTGCAGCCCTTGAAGTGCACTCCGCCGCCGAGACCGCGGCCATCGAGCGCGGCGCCGATCTCCTCGCCAAGGGGGAAGTGCCCAGGCCGTCCAATGAGGTGTCCGCCGCCGTCCTCGAAGAGCTCACCATCTGGGCCAAAAACAAAAACTGCGAGAGGGGGCCGCTCGCGGGCGCCCGAAACGCAGTGGTCCCCGCGCGTCTTTGCGCGAAAGCGCCGAAGGGCCCCGACGGCAGGGCCGCGCGGACCACCCGGCGCCGCATGGCGCTCAGAGGCTGCCGCGACACGCAAGGCGCTGACGCGCTGGAGACGTGCGCGGGGACAGCCAAGCGCGCCTCGCAGCGCATCATGTCCTCGGAGGCGGCGAGTCGCCCGAACCGGGTCTACGTCGCAGTCGCCGCGGGCGTCGAGGAGGCACTCTTGCAGGGCATGACGTATGCCGAGATGCAGGAACAAGGTGAAGGACGGCGCGAGGCGAACGTCGCCCTGCCGCCCGGCGGCGCAGCTATCCTCCAGCAGGCACCTGGCCACGAGTCCTTCGACGAGAGGGCCGAGTGCCTGCGCCGCTTCAAGCTGGGCGCGGGACCCAGCGGTGCACCCCGAGCCTTCGCCGCGCAACTCCCCCGAGCCTCGCGATAACTAGAGCGCAGCGCCAAGCCCGCCAGGTGGAACCTGGAGCTCGAGGTTAAGCACGAGTCGCCCGGCACACGCGTTGCTGGCGACTCAAAGATTGTGCTCATATCCACCGGGCGCACTGGCGGTCTCAAGACCGCTGGACACAAAGCAGCACGTCGATAGGCCACATCGAGAGCGTCTTCGGTAAGATCAGGGTGGATTACGACGACTTCACCATCTGCGGCGTCGACCAGTACCGCAGCCCCGACGGGGCCGCGCCGCTCGACCAGGACGAGTACATCGACGCCCTGATACCCATCAAGCACGTCGACCTGGCGGAGGAGAAAGCGACGAGCCCGCAGGAGGTCAACTACCCGTCCTCTTCGCCCCCTCGCTGGGCGCAGCTGCTTGCGCCCTGCTCGCCCAGCACCGCGTCGCACCGTGCGCTGCGGCGCTTCAACGGACCAGGAACAAGCTGCCGAAACGACGCGTTATGCAGCTCGATTCTGCGGTCCTCGCCACGCAGAAGATCATTGCGCGCATCGCGCTTCCTGCCGTGGACTTAGCGGGCCAGATCTGCGCGCGCAGCGACGGGTCCTTCGAGATGGAGGAGTGGACAGGATGCGGCATGCGAAGCGCCGTCTACGCGCGTCTCGGCATGCGTCGCATCAGCGGCGCGGGGGTCTGCCACGTCCTTGATGCCGTGTGCCGGTCGCACAGGCACGTGTGCATGTTCTCCGCCGTGTCCGAGCAGCTCGCGGCGCGCGGCGCAGTTGGCGATTTGCAGGCCCGCCCCCTCGCGACCCACGAGATGATCGAGGGGCCGGTCTCAGCCGAGGAGATCAGGGGGTTGAGGGGGAAAAGGGGGCTGCGCTACCCCATGCAACCGGGGTCGTGAGCGGCGCGTCCGTCTTCGCGGCCGTCGCCGTGGATCCCGCGCGCCTCCCTTCAGAGCGCAGCATAGCAGGCCACCTGCGGTGTCTTCCCGACCAGCTCAGAGCCAAGCGGATCACCGACATGCTCTGGTGCGATGCTCGCGACACGAGGGCCGACCCCATGAGTGCAGTAAAGGGAGTACCGGCCGTGACATGATCTTGGACGCGATGTGCAGGAGGCTCGAGTACGACCACCCCGCGGTCAGACTGAGCGACGAGAGACGCAATAATACCACGTCGAGTTCCCACCACAGCGACACCAGAGCGGCGGCAGAGGAAAGTGCATCACCTACGGAGTGAACAGCCGGCAGTTTCACAACAGGTTGCAGGATACTTCGCCAGCGGTCGCATGTCGGCCAACTGCGCTCGCGAATGCGACACGGGGAGCGGCAGAGGCAACCGCATAGGCGCACTGTGTTCGCAAAATGCGACGTGGCAGAACAAATGAGAGACAATTGCATATTCGACCTGTGTTCGCGAATGCGACCTGATGGGTAATCCATGAGGGGTTGTCTCTGCGAACTGTGTTCGTGCGGCAGCAGCTTTCGCCGTGCAGCGCGCAATCATATACTGTGCTCCTCCAGTTGTCTCTTTCCCCCATCCTTCCTGTTTGTTGCTATAGGGGTTCGTTGGCCCGCTTCGGCTAGTCCTATGGGGTCGTCGGGAGTGCTTCCACCCCGCCCACGGGCGCCGTAAAACCTCGTTGCGGTTGGCACCGTGGGGGGGCCAATGTGCTTTCGGGGGCGGAATGAAGTCCGACCCCCACGGGATCTGCCGAAACAGGCGAACCCATTCCCCTCGCTGCAACTATGTTTGAGGCCTCGTTGGTTGCAGCACGGCTCGCGCGCAGCAGCCGACGGGGCACAAGCAGACTCGCCTGAACACCAGACTCGAACGGCATGTTTCTTATTCATTCCTGTTCTCTGTTTGCTTTAATTGTCTCCCTCTTGCATTGCCCTTTGATTCGGGGGCGTGCTGCAGGCTCTCGCGCCCGCATCATATGATCATTGCTCACCGTATTAAGGTTAAAAACATGTTTTTTGTGTTTTACCACCGCCGCCGTATTCATAGCCTCCTCCTCCTCCTCCTCCCCGCCTCCCCCTCCAGCGAAGTCTACCAGGGGCACCCCGAAGCCTCCCAGGAGCCCCCCCCCCCCACGAGGCCCCCACTGAGCCCCCGCTCTTCCACGCGTCGTGTTGAAGGGTTTTTGTGGAAAGACCGTCCTTGTGGGCCGCCTGCTTAGCATTACTATATTATTATGTGTCCTGCTTCGTCCTCTTTTCGTTTCCTCTCCCACCTCCTGCTTCGGGTTACGCATCCTCCTCTTCCGAATTAGCATCCATTACTCAGTCCCCCTTTTTTCTCATGCGTCGCGCTTCTCTTGTTTGTCACCGTATATTGCATTACCCTCGTTGGCTCATGATGTGAAGCTCCCTTCCTTCTACCCTTGTTTTAGTTTGCACAACATCATCATGTTCTACCGCATTCATATTTGATGTCCTCTATCTCCCCTCGTCTCGTTCTCTCTCGTCTGTGCCTCTGTACGGTCCTGACTATGTTAACCCCCCGGCGGGGATGAATCCTGCATGCGCTGAGAACGTGAAGTGTCATGTTGTTTGTGTACGCTGGCCGTCGGAAGTGGGTATTTTTGCATGCCCAAGTCTCGATGTTTTTTAGGCACTTTCCTACTTCGAGAGTATGTTTTCCCTTCTCTTCGGAGGGCGGGCGGAAGCCCAATGTATCTTCAACGCCTTCCTAGTTCGTGGTTCCACCCACTTCTTCCGACCGACGTGCAAATAGAACGATGCAGGGTGTCCCCCTCTCATATTCGTGGGGCATCTCGCGCCAGGGGTTCTCTCATTTCTCAGAGCAGGGCTGGCGGTAGGCTGTTGGAAGAGGACCCTCGGTGTACCCGTCGGTCGTTGAACGTAGTTTTTGGGGGATGCCCAAGTCCCAATCTACTTTAGCCGCTTTCCTACTTCAAGGATCGAGTTGTTTTCAATGTTCCTTCCTCTTTAGGGGGTGGGCGAAAGCCCCATCTACTTTCAACCCTTCCTACTTCATGGTTCTACCCACTTCTTCCGACCGACGGGTACTGATCTTCCCCCTCCCCCTCCTCCTCCTCCTCCTCCTCCTCCTCCTCCTTTCCCGCTGACCCTCGACGTCGTGTTTGTTTGACGACGTCGACCCCAGGAGGTCTGGACCCCTTCCCCGGGACCAGTTTTTCACGGATGAGTTTTTTTGACGGCCCCGCGGCCAGGCAAGGGTTCCCAGAGGCCGAAAATAACGGCAGACGTCCCCGCGTGATTTTATTCCCATCGCGAGGGATTCTGAACCTTCCTCCCCTTTTGAAACCCTTAGTGAAGCTCACCACTGGGTCATCCTCCTCTCCTCCTCCTCCTCCTCCTCCTCCTCCTCCTCCTCCTCCTCCTCCTCCTCCTCCTCCTCCTCCTCCTCATCCCGCCGCTTTGGTCCTCTCGTCCCCTCGCCCCGCCCCGCCGAGGCGCCGACGGGCACTTCCTGGGCCTATCCCGGCCCTCCCCGGAGGACCAGGAGCCTTGGCGGGGAGGTCGACGGGGCCGGCTGAGGCTGGCGGGGCCGCAGATCCCGATCGAGGCCCAGCGAGTCGTGGGAAAATCACGGCGGGAGGTTTGTCGCTATGTTTGGCCTTTGGGGGCCCCCTTGCGGCCTCGGGACCGTCCAGAAGCGACTCAGGGCGGAAAGTTGGTCTTGGGTAGTGGGTCTAGACCTCTGGGGGCCCACGTCATGAATAAATCATGACGTCGGGGGTCTGGGAAGGGAGGAGGTTGGAGCCGTCTGGAGGTCCGAGGCGGCCCAACACTGGTTCCTGCCAGCAGGAAGGGAGGGCAGCTTCGAGGTAGTTACTTGGTTTCGGAAGACTTTTTGCCTCTTTTTCCCAAGCCTCCCTTGTTTGGGTTCTCGCTTTGGATGGAGCAGTGGGGTCGCCAGCTCCCTCTTCCGTCTCCCGCCCTCTGTCCCCCTCTCGCCTGCCTCTTGGGGAGGCCAGCACTGGGGTCCCACGCAGGGAAGGTGCGCACAGGGGAGCTTCCTTGAAATGCCCTCTTTGGCGCACCAGGTATTTCGCGGTGATTGTTCTTCCACCCCGATGTCTTCCTGTTGCTTCTCCTTGTGCAATGCCTCCTGGCCTTTTGTGCCTCAGTTCTGCGAGTCCTCCGTGCACACTTCCCACGATAAGAGCATCCGCCGCGCACCGTCTCTTGCAACGGTCGTCACACCTTACATCACCCCTTGGTGCTGATGGGTTGGGTACCTCGCAGGGTAATTCTGCATGTGGGGGCCGTTTTCGGGCCCCCATGCCGTGGAAAACGGATCCGGGGTGAAACACGGAACCAGATAGACCCTGGGCGGGTCCGGGGGTTTGGATTCATCTTATTTTCCTGACCGATTCTCTGGGGCCCCAACCTGTTCAAGACTCCCATGCCACCTCCAATGAAGAAGAACGAGGGAGGGTTGAGGAACGATGGAGGGAGAGGAGGGAGGAGATGGCGGAAGAGGAGGAGAAGGTGGGTGGCGATTGAAGAGGGGGAGGAGGAGGAGGAGGAGGAGGAGGAGGAGGAGGAGGAGGAGGAAGAGGTTTAGGTCTGCATCTCGATCGAGCTCCCCCGAGGGCTGGTTTCCAGAGCTCCTCGGAGGCCCGCGCAGTTCAAAATATTGAAAAACATGGCACCGACAACATGACCTACTCCTTTTCCCTCCCCCACTTCTGGTCCCTCCCTCCCTCCCTCCCCCCCTCTCCTCTTCGGCCTTCTCGTTGTCGTGTCCTGTTGCCTCCGCCGTCGTCGTCGTCGCCGTCGTCGTCGTCATCGTCGTCGTCATCGTCGTCGTTGGTGTCCACCTTTTGTCCGTCTTGCCTGGACCTTGTGTCCGTATGCTCGCTCCGCGCGCAAGGCCGACCCGAAGTCCCGAAAGCTCGCGATCCTCCCTCTCCACGCGGAACCCCGCTCAAAACGAGTCCGAGGATCGTTTCCTTGGTGCCTTCCGGGGCCGTTTCGCGAGCCACGCCCGGCAGGCGCACGGCTGCGCCGTGGGTGGGTGATTGGTCCGCCGACACGACGCGGCTGCGCGGCGCTCGCGGAGTGGTGCGAGGAACATGACGAACGAACAAGGATCTGAGGGAGGAGGACCGGCTATGGGTATGGGCGCGGGTTGTCGGACCGCGGGTGGGCTCCCGTTCGAGCGGGGACCCCCATCCGACGACACGCGCCCTTAGCACCCGCCTTGGCCCCTACGGGTATGGGTTGTTCGCTCGTCAGAACATGGGTGCACCGTGCACGGGGAGGCCCTGCTCCCCAACGCTGCGCCAGGGAACCCCGAGGCACGGATGGACCTCGTCGTCCACGCCCCGCGCTTCGCCGAGTCCTTCATGGTCGACCTGACCGTGGTGAACGCGCTCACGCAGGACACCCTCGCGCTCGGCTCCGCGCGGCGGGACGGCGCCGCAGCGGTGGCCGCCGCGCGGCGCAAGCGGGCCCGCTAGCCTGGGGTTGCCGTGGTCCCGTTCGTGGTGGGGGACCATGACCGCCTGGGTGAGGAGGCGCTGGCCCTGACGAGGCTGCTGGCGCCCGCCCAGTACACGGAGCGCGCCGCGGCCATCTGGCGACTACACCTGTCGTTCGTGTGCGTCCTGCAGCGCTTCGCCGCCGACGCGGTGCTGGCGGCGACGCATGCGCAGGAGTGGGCCGCTGGAGCCAGCTGCGGAGCCCCGGCTAAGCCGCTGCGCGCTGGGCCGCTGGCCGAGAAGCTGGTGTTCTTCCTGCGCGGCGGCGGCCGAGCGCGCCCAGTCGGCGGCGGAGCGCGCGCTTCGCCTGGCATGGCTGGAAGGGCGGGGCCTGCCGGGCTGCTGCGCGCGCGGCGCGCGGGCGCGCTGCGCGGTCGGGCAGCGGGCGCCGCGGGGGTCGGAACTGGCGGCGCGCCGGCGGCGCCGGGTGGCAGGGTGGGCCGGCGCTCGAGGCCGCCGATTTCTTGCTCGCGGCGCTCATCTGGCGCAAACGCTCACCCCTGGGAGCGGCCGCTGCGTGGCCGCCGAGCCTTCGGACCAGTCGCTAGGCAGCGGCTGTTTTTGGGGGGCCGCTGCGAGGCGACGGGGCGTTCCGCTGGCACAAATTCTGGAATTTGTGCCAGCGGAACGCGGTCCGGGCGCTTATCGAATTTGAAATTCGATAAGCGCTCGGACCGCGTTCCTCCGCCGGAGGAGGAGAACGAATAAGAGGAGGATTAGTAGGAGGAGCGGGAGGTGGAGGAGGGAGATGGGAGGGAAAGGGTTCTTTTCCCCCTGCTCGAGCTTTGTCCTCTCGGTCCCGTATCGCTGCCGTCTCGCCGCTGTCGTCCTGCTCATTCCACATTTTCCCGCCGCTCTCCCGCTTGTCCATCGTCTCCGCTTACGCTGGCGCGTTGGAGCCCGCCGAGTTGCCGCGTCGTCGATCGCCGAGATAATCTAGAAACAAAAATACGAAAAAAAGATAGAAATGGCAAATGAGTCGGGTTCCCCCATACAGACTGGAGGTTTCCTCCCCAGAGGCGCCCACGAGCCCGAACAAGATTAAGAAGGCGGGGCAAGTAATGACTCCCGAGCGACCCCAATTATGGATTTTTGACAAACCGACACACAGGCATATCCAAAAACAGCGCATTGCAATTGAACGTTCGCAGCGCAAGGGCACAGCGATGCAATGGAACGCGATGCGGCTGAAACGCAATGCCATTTTACGCGACTCATGTTTCATGCAACGCAAGACAAGGCAAAACAAGGCAGTACAATACAGAAACAATGCAATGTGAGACATTGGAATTCACAAACATGACTGTGCGAACCTATGCGCTACTAGCTATATCATATTATCGAATGCCCGTCTGTCCATCCGGCCACCGGGCCTGGGTTGTGGTTCCTGGATTGTGGGCCTGAGGCCTCGTGGATGTTCATTGGGAGTTCGTCGCTCTCGACGGCAGTTTTAAACCTTTGGGGGGCTGGCTCGGGGCACCTTAGTGTTGCTTTTGGGACTCTGGGGGCCTTATGGGCCTCTCGGGGGCCTCTTTGAGCATCCTGGGTGCCTCTTGGGGCAGAAGGCTTGGATGTTTGATTCGTGCTCCCCCTCTCGGGGCCCTCTTCGGCGCATCTTGGGCCCCACTTGAGCCGTCTAGGGGCCCTCTTGGGCCGTTTAGGGGTTCCCTTGAGGGCCTCTGAGGCCGTCTTGTGGCGGTTTGGGAGGCCCCTTGGGACGTCTTGGAGTGCAGGGAGCTCGAAGAGTGGAGAACCCCAAAAACATGGAATAACCGAATGCAGTTCAATGATTTTCGCCTGTCGGGGCCATCTTGGGAATGCTCTTGGGGTTCTTCAGGGGCCTCTCCGAGGCTTCTTGGGCCATCTGGGGGCCAGGACCGACCGTTCGGCGATGCGGGGCCCTCTTGGACCGACTGAGCGGCCTCTTGGGGCCCTCTCGGCTTGTCTTGGAGCCCAAGTGGCCACAACAAAATCATGCGGGAAACTTTGGCGGTGCCCAGGAGGCACGCGAGCAACTCTGGAATATTTGAAAATTTGTGGTCCGAGCCCTTTTTTTGAGACTCCTCAGAATTGGGGAGTGCGGCTTAAGGGATTCGGCAAAGGACTTGGGGGCACTTCAACTCGTGCCCCAGGGCACGGTGGCCGATAATACGCGATAGCACAGTTTGAAGCAGTTGCCATGCTACGCTGCTGCAATAACTGGCTCTGACCTGTGTCTATCTCTTCGGTATCCTCTTGTGGCCGTCTTGGGGGCGTCTTCGGGGCTTCTCGGGCCGTCACCGGGCCCTCGGAGGCCATCCGGGCCCTGGGCCATCCTGGCATTTGAGAGGCAATCTTGGACCGTCTGAGCAACCAGCCGAGGCCGAGCGGGGACCCAGGGCCACAACTACCATGGTCGCTGGGCGACTCGAGGGATTGGCCTGTTCCTGCTGATGGAGGTCCCTCCCAGGGGGTATGGAAGGGGGGGGAGCGGGGGTTCCGCAGAGCGTCCTAGATGGCTCCAAGTTGGATCCAGGCATCCCCAGCCCCTAGCATATGTCGAAGCGGCTCCAAATTAGTGGCCAATGGGTCTCAAGCATTCTGGCTCAGCAGGTTCGGCTGCAAGGATCGTCTGCTAATGTTGCAGCCGTTTTTGCCGCTGTTGCTGGCTTGTTTGGTATTCCTGGCGCCTTGTTCAATCTTGTTTGACGATTTTACAACGTACAATGCTAGCCTGTTTGAGTACAGTGACAAAAAGATGGGAACAACAGATGGATGCAAAGTATGGTACCTGAAGAACCATAGCACCGTGGATGCCGAGCTCTCGATGGGGGAAGGTCGTGGGCTCAGAATGCTCATGTCTGCAACGCCCTGCAAAGAACATCCGGGTGCTTGTCATGGTTCCAAGATGGCAGCTGATCACATTCAGACCATTCACAGTCAAAGCTTCGGGCGCTATGAGTTGCGAATGCGAGCGCCGTACACCATCGATGGTAGCGGCAGCACGTGCGACAGGGGCATTTATGCGTATTTTACTGCAGGGTTTGCCATCTCTGACGGCACGTGGAACGAGATCAATCCGTAAGGGCTTCGCCCCCTGCCGCCGGCCCCCTCTCTCGGAGAATGGGCCATGGAAGAGCTAAGTCATGAGGCCTTGGCGCTGTCGTGAAGCAGTATCTCAGTATCGAAACTTCATGCGAAGCCGAGTCGCAATCAGCAAAACCAACTGATCACAAGAGGGGTTACCACACCTGGCGATTGGTAAGACGTGTATGGTTTGAGGGCTTGGTTACCACACCTTGCGATTAAAGGGCCGAGGGAGTTCTCGCAGTTCGGGTTACCACGCCTTGCGATGGATGTGCGTGATGGGTTCGAATTTCAGAAATGTGGCAAATCCCCTGTGTTTTTGGACCCTGACCCCGCGGATCTGCGTGAGTGGTGGCACCGAATTTCAGAAATGTGGCAAATCCCATGTGTTTTGGACCCTGACCCCGCGGATCTGCGTGAGGGGTGGCACCGAATTTCAGAAATGTGGCAAATCCCATGTGTTTTTGGACCCTGACCCCGCGGATCTGCGTGAGGGGTGGCACAGAATTTCAGAAATGTGGCAAATCCCATGTGTTTTGTGGACCCTGACCCCGCGGATCTGCGTGAGGGGTGGCACCGAATTTCAGAAATGTGGCAAATCCCCACTGTTTTTGGACCCTGACCCCGCGGATCTCCGTGAGGGGTGGCACCGAATTTCAGAAATGTGGCAAATCCCCTGTGTTTTTGGACCCTGACCCCGCGGATCTGCGTGCGGGGTGGCACCGAATTTCAGAAATGTGGCAAATCCCCGGTGTTTTTGGACCCTGACCCCGCGGATCTGCGTGAGGGGTGGCACCGAATTTCAGAAATGTGGAAAATCCACTGTGTTTTTGGACCCTACTCCGCGGATCTGCGTGAGGGGTGGCACCGAATTTCATAAATGTAGCAAATCCCATGTGTTTTTGGACCCCGACCCCGCGAATCTGCCTGAGGGGTGGCACCGAATTTCAGAAATGTGGCAAATCCCCTGTGTTTTTGGACCCTGACCCCGCGGATCTGCGTGAGGGGTGGCACCGAATTTTAGAAATGTGGCAAATCCCCGGTGTTTTTAGACCCTGACCCCGCGGATCTGCGAATTTCAGAAATGTGGCAAATCCCATGTGTTTTTGGACCCTGACCCCGCGGATCTGCGTGAGGGGTGTAGATTTCGAGCCCCCCCAGCAATTCAGACAACGCGCCCAGGTGAGGCTAAAAATCCTGTTTGGGCCTCCCCCCCCCTCGCGCGGTCAATCAACTAGTTACAGTAAACAGCAAGAAGTCAACTAGTTACAGTAACCAGCAAGAAGCAGAACTGTAACACTGGAAACTACAACCTACGACTGGTACAGGAAACTGCGAATCACGTGCCTCGCAGCCTGGTGGCCCCACAAGGGGGCCGGCGGATTTTGGTTTTCTTCCAGACCGTGATGAGAATGGCACGCAGGTATCTTGTTCGCACCACGACGACATGGGTAAATATCATCAGACGTTTGTTCCATTGGGCTTCAACTATAGAGACTCATTCAATACCTACGTGATTGAACATTCAAGTGATTCCATAACATGGAAGGTCGGACACGGCAACCCGTTGAGCATGACATTGAAGACAGTCTACCATGTAATGGCTTCGCTTTCAAAGCCTATGACAGTGCGTCTTATATTGCGCACAAATTTTCGCCAAGGTGATCCTGGATTCATGCACGATACCGTTTGGGAGATTGAGCACTTCAACTTCGTGTCTGCATCGAATCAAACGCTTCTGGAGCATGTTGTTTAGCGTTTCCATGTGATCAGGCGCGCTTGTATAAATGCCCAGACGTTTGACAGTGACGCCCTCACTGGCAAGCCGAACGCATTGTTATTTATTCTTTTTCGTTCTATTGTGCTGCAGTCTTTTTGTTACCGTGCACATGTCATGTTTCTCAGCGAGTCGGGCGCCCATCCGGGGGGCCCGCGCGCGGGCCGCATTCGCTGCGTTCTCTGCATTTTGTGCTGCGCTCTCCCTCGTGTGGGTAAGGGTGCAGGCAACATCGACAAGCAAAAACAGGGTCTGCCGTGCCGCCCGCTGCCCTGGGGATGGAGGTCCAGGCACAGCGAGTCGTACTTTGCCTTGGCTCAGGCCTTCCACTGTCACATGAATCTTCCATACCACGGACATTCTTGGTGTGTACGATGGAGTGCTATGATATATGTGTGACGCAACGCTATCTGATTCTATGCTCTGACACCCATGATGCGTTTTGCTGAGCTATGCAAGTCAGTGCCGTGCAATCGGTGCATATTTTGCAATGCGATGTAGTGTAATCCAATAATACGACACTGTGCTGGTCTACGCTCTGCTATGCTACCACTTGCAGAGCTAGGCTACGAGCGTTCCGATGATATCTGTCATGCTTTGCTATGTGCGGCTATGCGGTGACACCTTTTGGACGTGCGAATGCGAGTGCGCACTCTTGATTGTTAGCGAGGCCGGGCCGCACAAACGTTAAAAGGCAACCATTGCCCCCTTGCGCACAACCAGCTTGACCCCCCACAGCTGCGCAACAAGGGAGGGAGGTGGAGGATCCTCCCCCCCCATACGGTCAGGCATACGATATTTTCATGTTTGTCCCACCCACGCGCCCTCAGGGCTCTCGCCCCCCTCCCCCTGGGGCTGTCTCCCGCGCACAGGTCCATGCTCGGTGGCCCGAGAGCGGCCTTCCCGGCAGTCTGCAGCTACGGGACACGCCACAGATGCAGCCAGCGATCCGTCCGAGGCCTGGACCTCCGCCCTCTCCCTCTGCGTCCTCCGCTCCTGCCCTCCGGCTCGTGGACCCCAGAGTGTGAAACAGCCTTCAGACGTACACACCTGTCAGGACTGCTCAATCCCTCGACTGGAACTTCGATTCCAAGGTCCTGGTGTTAGCTATCGGTCCTCCTGGAAGGTCAGGATCGCAGGGCGCTTTCCGACACCACCGCGCCGATCCGATTCGACTTCTGAGGCGTCCGACTCGAACCGACTCGATGGCGACATTTCGATGCACGGCTTTGATTTCGACATTTCGAGGGAGGAGGGGAGGGAAGGGAGGAGATGGGGAGGAGAGGAATCCGAGGCGGGAATTTTTTACATGACCACCGCCTGGAGGTTCAGTTTTCGGAGCCTCGGCAGGCGGTGGATACGGACATATTGCGAAGGCCTTACGGCCGATGCCGCCGACCCTGTAGGCAGCGACGACGAAGACAATGGAGGTAGAGGAGTCCAAGATGCCCTCAGATGGCTCGAAGACGTCGCCAGATGCCTGCAAGGTCGTCCGAAGACGGCTTGAGGCCTTCTCCAGGGTTCGGGAACGGCTCCAGAGAGTGCCAAGATAGGCAAAGAGCGCCCTCAAGTGGCCCGAGAGGGTTCCAAGAATGCGTCAAGCGAGGTCCAAAAGCGCCTGCAGAGGCTGTCAAGAGTGCCGCCAGAGGCTGCCAAGAAAGTCTAAAAATGGCGAAAGGTCTCCAAGGAGCCTTAAGATAGGCTGAAAGGGCCCGCAGACGGCCCCGCAGGGCCAACGGAGCCCCAGGACGCAGGAGGATGAGAGGCGGGGGGCTGTGTATCCGAGGGGGGACCCCCCCCCGGGAGTTGCCCCGGGACCCCCCCCCGGCGGGGAAGGGATCAAGGGAAGGGGCTTCCCTTCGACTGAAGGACGACGTTGTTCAATTTTTGTGTGGGCTTGTGTAGGGAGCCTTCGGAAAGCAGAAGAGGCGACGACGCTGTGGGGCAGACAGAAAAGCCTCTCCCACACGCCGACAGGGTCGGCGGATTCGGGCCCCCGGGGGCCGAATTGTATCCATATCCATCGCTCGCTGGGGCACCAGGACTTCGGTTCCCAGGCGGTGGATATGGATAAATCCCCGCCTCGCAAGGAGGGAGGAGAGGAGGGAGGACAGAAGCAGAGAAGGTGCAACAGAGAAGAGGGGCCGCTGGCCCCGAACCACTGCGCGAGGACCGCGGCGGGGCGGCTGTGGCGGAGATCTACCGGTGCGCCACGTGTGGCCGGGCTGAGGGAGGGGTGCCCGGAGCTCGGAGTTGCGGCGGCGTGATTCTTGTCCCGTCCCGTTCGGAAGCAAGTCATGCCAGTATCGTTTCACCGATCCCCATCAAGGCAAATATCGGGAGGAGGACACGGATGGGAGGGAAGGCCAGACAGGATGGCGAGGTGGAGAGGTTTGGGGCAGGAAGATCAGGAGGACGAAGATGGGGAGGCCCAGGAGGAGGGAGGGAAGAAGCGGAGAGGAGGAGTAGGACGAGGATGGAGCCGCCGGGGAGGTAGGACAGCGCGTTCCAGAGGTACTGATGCCCGTATCTGTAATGCTGCAAGGAGGGCCGAGATGTCAAAGATCGAAGGCAGCAGCGTGGAATGGACACTTCCCGCTAGAGTATCCTGGCGGAGAGCCGCGGGCAGCGCAAGCGGATGCGGCGACCTCCCGCGGTGGCTCGCGCAGGCCGCGCACGCGGCAAACCACGTGGACATGTCGCTCATGTGCGAGATGTTGCGCGGGTGTCTGGCGCGCGAGCGTCCGTGCAATCGACCGCCCTGGCATTCCTCGAGACAAAACCGACCAGGGATCTGCGCTGGACCCCCCTGACAACGCCTCCGGCGCCGGCCTTGGCGCGCTCCGCACGCCAGGGAGGGGGGTCCAAGAAGCCAGCGTCACGGCGCCAACATCGCAGTCATGGCGTGCCACGCGAAATTCACGTCGCTTTTCGCTCGCCATTTCGGGGTGTTGCGCTGCGAGAAATCCACGCAGACATCCGCTGAAGCACGTCTGCAAGGCCGGTGCATTGACCAGTGCCGCACTCCAAAAGTTTGTGCTGTCGCCGCTTCTTCTTCTTCTTCTTCTGAGTCCGCCAGCCCCCTCAGAGTAGGTGATGGAAGGGGCCATCTCGTCTGGAGGCCCCCGCGCCCCCCCCGTTCGGGGACGCGGTTGCCCCGCCACCCTCGCCCGACCCCCTCCCCGCCCTCGTGTCTGGACGGGGAGGGGCCGTGCAGCGCCCATGTCAGACGGACCGCAGGTGGGCGGACGAAGGAAGTCGGTGGCGAAGCCAGAGCCCTGCCGCAGCGGGAGCCTTCGCGGCAGAAGGTCTCGCAGAACGAGCCTTTCCGTGACAGAGGGGGTGGCTAGGCGAGCCTTTCCTTGACGGAGGGGGGGCCAACAAACCAATTGTCACCTCATCCCGGCTTGTGGATTACCCTCACCGATCAAGGTCCCAGGCAACTCGATGGGGCGGCGGGGGCGGGGTTCGGAACTCGTCGAGCACGCGCCGAAGTCCGAAGCCCACCCCCGGCCCCCCATCGATTCAGGCGCATCGATGGTCGGTGGTAAATAGGTTTCGGACGTCGCCACAGTAGAGAGAAGGGCTTGCGCACGAGGCACCCGGCGACTTGTGCGCTGTGGCGCACGCAGACTGCTGGCACGGCAGGCCACGTGGGCAAGAAGGCCTTACGCGCGACCTTTTGCGGTCAGTTTCCGAGCGAATGCCCGCCCGTCTCGACACCGTCGGCAATCTCGCCAGCCCTGTGCCTTGGTTGCGGGTGCGCGTCGGGTTGCGCTCGCGGGTGCCCGCGGCCCAATGGTGGTTGCGCGTGCGGTTGCGGTTGCGCGCGCCCGCGGACGGCACAAAATGTGTCGCCCAGTTGCGATTGCGGTCGCGCGCGTCCGCGGGCGGCCCAGAATGTCTCGCCCGCTTGAGATTGCGGTTGCGGTCGCGCGCGCCCGCGGACGGCCCAAAGTATAGTGTCTGGTGGCGGTTGCGGTTCCGGTTGCGCGCGCCCGTTGGTTTTCAAGATGTGTCGGGCGGTTGCAGTTGCCGTTGCGCGAGCCGCGGGTCGCCCGAAGTGTGGCGCCCGGTTGCAGTTGCAGTTGCGTGCGCCGGCGGGCGGCCCGAAATGTGTGTGTGTGTGTGTGTGTGTGTGTGTTTTGTTCCATCGTTTTTTTTTTGACGTTCAGATCAGCGCAGGGGATTTTGACCGTGCTTGATGACGACGACGACAAGGATGATGTCATTGTCGCCGGTGGTGGTGACGATGGTCGTGGTGCTGATCACACGGCGACGGTGGTGACGACGTCACTCCTGATGAGGACGACAATGCAGACGACGAGGGTGCATCCTCCTCCGCCTCCTCCTCCTCCTCCTCCTTGGCTTCCTGTTTCTGCTGCTGCTGTCCTCGTGCAACCAATGGGCGGCTTGATTTCTCGCAGACATGGCCCCCCAGACCTCTGGACCCATTCCCGGGGTCGATCTCTCCATCCCGGGTCGTACTGTGAAGGCCCGCGGGCCCGCAGCTTGGCTCCTGAGGCCGCGTTCGAGGAAAAATGATGGGCGGTTGCAGCAAATCGTGACGTCGCACCAGGTCACCCGCGGGGAGGGAGGAGGAGGAGGAGGAGGAGGAGGAGGAGGAGGAGGAGGAGGCGGAGGAGGAGGCGGAGGAGGAGAAGGAGGAGGAGGAGGAGGAGGAGGAGGAGGGAGGAGGAGGAGGGAGGAGGGAGGAGGGAGGAGGGAGGGAGGGAGGAGGAGGAGGGAGGAGGGAGGGGAGGGGGGGGGCGAAGATTGCCGCGCTGCGCATGTCGTGTCGCGGCCTGGGCCGCAGCGCTGCCGATCTCCAGCATGGGCCCCGCGAGGGCGCGAGGATCACCGCGCGTCGCGCAGGGCGGCTCCTCCTCCTCCTCCTCCTCCTCTTCCTCCTGTTTATCCTCCTCCTCCTCCTCCTCGTCCTCTCGTTTTCGTCTATATCCTTCGTCCTCGTCCTTGTCATTTTCCTCCTCCTCCTCCTCCTCATCCCCATCACCCTCTCCTGGGCGCGACGAGCCGGGCCAGGCTACTCAGCCCGGGGGAGGAGGGCCCTGGGTGCGCCGGCGGGCTCGGCCGAAGCACCGCGAGCCAGGCAACGCGACGACGTCTTTCCCGCGCTTCCGCACGGTGCTGCCGGCCCTGCGCGCCAGGCCAGAGGGCCCTCGGTTGTCGCCGCTGCGGCTGGGCGGCGAGGGTGGCGATGACGAGGAGGGTGACGGCTTCCTCGATGTTGGCGACTTCTACGGGATCGATGATAAATTATGAGGATAGTGGTGATGGCGATGATAGTGATGATTGTGATGGCGCGTGGTGAAGATGATGATGGCGGTAGTGATGGTGATGGTAATGGTAATGATGATGATGCTGATGATGATGATGATGATGATGATGGTGATGATGATGATGATGATGGTGATGATGATGATGATGATGGCGGTGGTGATGATGATGGTGGTAGTGATTAGGATGATCATGATGATGATGATGATGATGATGATGATGATGATTGATAGATAGATAGATAGATAGATATATTGATTGATTGATTGATTGATTGATTGATTGATTGTTTGCTGATGGTGATGCTAATGATGATGATGATGATGATGATGATGATGATGATGATGATGATGATGATGATGATGATGATGATGGTGGTGATGGTGATGGTGATGGTGATGGTGACGGTGATAGTGATGGTGATGTTGATGGCGATGGTGATGGCGATGGTGACGGTGATGATGATGAGGATGAGGATGCTGAGGATAAGGATGAGGACGGTAGTGGTGATGGTGATGGTGATGGTGAGGGAAGGTGAGGGTGAGGGTGAGGGTGAGGGTGGTGAGAGCGAGGGTGAAGAGAGCGAGTCTAATGGCGATGATGATGATGATGATGATGATTATGATGATTCTACTGCTGATGATGATGCTGCTACTGCTGCTGATGATGATGATGGTGATGGTAATGGTGATGGCGATTATGCTGATGCTGATGATGCTGATGCTGATGCTGATGCTGCTGATGACGATGCGGTCGATGCTGCTGCTGATGATGATCACGATGATGAGGCTGCTGCTGATGATGATGATGTCAATAGTGGTGGTGGTGATGCTCAGGTTGTTGATGACGAGGCTACTGATACTGATGATGCTGATGATGATGTTGGTGATGGTGATGATGGCGATGGTGATGATTGCGATGGTTATTTTGAGAATGTTGATGCTGGTGGTGGTGATAATCATGATGGCGACCATTGTGATGATGATGCTGATGCTGATATGGATGATGATAATGCTGATGCTGATGATGATTACGATAATGATGCTGATGATGATGAGGATGATGATGATGATGATGATGATGGTGATGACGATGACGATGACAATGACGAGCAGGATGATGCTGATGATGATGATGATGCTGATGGTGATCATGATGCTGATAATGGTGATGATGCTGATAATGATGATGATGAGGATGATGATGATGATGATGATGATGCTGATGATGGTGATGATGCGGAGTATGACGATGATGCTGCTGATCATGATGATGGTGATGGTCATGGTGACGGTGATGGTGATGAGGATGCGGATGTTGCGGATGAGGATGTGGATGCTGAGGATGAGGATGAGGATGACGATGCTGCTGCTGGTGATGGTGGTGGTGTTGGTGATGATGATGGTGATGCTGATGCTGGTGATGATGATGATAACGGTGATGGTGATGAGGATGCGGATGCTGAGGATGAGGATGATGAGGATGAGGATAAGGATGAGGATTGCTGAGGATGAGGATGAGGATGAGGATGCTGAGGATGAGGAGGAGGAGGAGGAGGAGGAGGATGGTGGTGGTGGTGATGAGGATGAGGATGAGGATGAGGATGAGGATGTTGATGCTGATTTTGATGTTGCTGTTGATGATGATAGCACCAGACGTTCAAGTTGTGCGCACGGAGCGGGGCTCGACGCGCGGGCAGCTCAGTTCCAGGACGATTACCATGCCGAAGAGGCACGTGTGGGAGGGGGGGACGCAGGACCTCAGGATCTTGACCCCGCCCCCACGCACGGCGACGGCCGTAAGCATTCCTGACGACGTCGCAGCCGACATCGACGCATTCAAGGAAGAGGACGCAGGCGCAGAACTGCCCAAGGCTGAGAAGATCAGGATGAGCGCTCCTCACTCGGCTGTAATGATGGGGTTTTCCGCGCAGTGACCACTGCACTGCAGCCCGACCGCTGGGCACGCTCGCCGCACCCAGAACTCTGCCAGTATAGCAAAAGTTTGCCTCCCGCGGCCTTTTGCTCCGTCTCGTCGATGGCCTCGTCTATGTGCTGCAGGCTGCTGATGCTTCTGCAGCCTCTCCACCTTGGCGACGGCGTGGCTGCGCTCGGCTCAAGCGCCACTACGGTCTGCAACCCTGTCCTCCTGGCTGGCCCGCTTGTGGAGCCGCAGCCCCTATCCACGTCCGCCCCAGCTCCGCCGTGCTCCTTCAGGACGGAGCGCCTCGTCGCCCCGCACATCGTCAGCGCAGGGGAGCCCTCGTTAAGGGCAGCGACCGCCGCCCTGCCCCGTCGTCGAGCTCTCCTCTGCAGTGGGCCCCTGCGAGGGTGCTTCGGCAGACGACGACGGCTGGCGGCGGCGGCGACGACGACGGCGACGGCGGCGGCGGCGGCGACGGCGGCGACGACGACGGCGACGACGACGACGACAGCGGCGGCGACGGCGACGACGAGCTGCCGCCCGTGCCCTGCAGCTCGTCAGCCTCTCCTTCCGCCCCGCCTGGCTGGCTCCGCCTCGCCGCCGACCTTGGCCCACCGGCTACCTCGGGATGCGTGTCGCCCCGACGCGGCGGCGACCCCGCCGCTGCGCGGGGCCCCCCGCGCCCGCGTCCTCGCGGCCTCGCGGCGCGGCCCCGCCCCACGCGGGCTCGCGTCGTCCAGGCGCCCGCGCCTCTGCGCACGCCTAGGCTCCGCCAGCGCAGCACCCTCCCGAGGCTCGAGGAACAGAACTCCGCGCAAGCACACTCTGGCTTTCTCAATCAGCGTGGGAGGGGTACCCCCCCGACGGAGGTCAACCTCGCCTCGTCGTCGCGCCGCGACGGGGGTCGGAGCGCCTTCGGCGCGCGGTGGCTGCCCGCGACGGGGGTCGATGTGGGGCCGTCGGCGGGGGTGACGCCCCCCGACGCTTAGTAAGAAACTCGGAGTACGCTTCCAGAGCTCCGAGCGGAGCTTTCGGATATGCGCTGGGGCCCCCCCTGGCGGCGCCTCCGGCGGCTTCCCTGGCGATCGAAGCGGGTCAGGGAGGGGGGTTCAGCACCGATCTGAGAAATCTGCGCGGACCTCCGAGAGACTATGTATACGCCGTTTTCTGTACCTCTAGCTCCACCTCCCCGAGGCAATCCCCGCCTGTGGTTGGCCACGTTCCTGGGCCGACGGCGTCCACCCCGCTCGGCCCCTCTGCCCTCAACGAGCGCCTGGAGGACGGGCCCGACCGGCCTCGGGCGCCGCTGGGCCCCAGGTGCGCGGGCGACGCCCTGCGCGCCCACGAGGCCCTCACGGCTTCGCGCGGCCCAGCGCTGGGCCAACCTGCGCTCTCACGAGCCCCCGTCCCCCTCCAGGTGCACTCTCGAGGCCGACCGGTGTGCCGGCGGCTCCCCGCACGCCCTCTGCGCCGCGAGCCAGCCGCCCCCCCCCCGGCCAGAGCCCCACCATGGCGGAGCCGCCAGGCCGTGAGCCGCGCGGCCGGGGCTGCTGGTCCCCTGGCATGAGCCAAGAGGGCTGCGGGTGGTGGTGATTCGATTCTGGTGGTGGTGGTGCGGGAGGGCGGACGAGGATCCAGGATCATGAGGATGCGGGGGAGCAGGAGGGAGGCGAGGAGGAAGGGGAGGAGGAGGAGGAGGAGGAGGAGGAGAAGGAGGAGGAGGAGCAAGAAGAGGCGAAGGAGCAGGAGTGACACTCAAACCAAGGCGGCCGCACCGACCGCCCGCGCAGCCCGAGCGCCGCGGCCCTGGCGCCTGGGAGCGCAGGGCGACTCGGCCGAGCAAACCCGGCTGGAGCGTTTGACGACAGCGACATTCGGAGGGCTCCGGGATGGTGGTGATGATGATGATGATGATGATGATGATGATGATGATGATGATGATGATGATGATGATGATGATGGTGATGATGGTGATGATGATGATGATGATGATGATGATGATGACGATGGTGGTGGTGCTGGTGGTGGTGATGATGATTATGTTGATGGTGATGATGATGCAGATGATGATGACGATGGTGATGACGATGATGAGTATGTTGATGGTGATGATGATGCTGATGATGCCGACGATGTTGATGACGATGCCGATGACGAGGATGATGATGATGCTGATGATGATTATGATGATGACTATGATGATGTTGCTGATGATGATGGTGATGACGATGATGATGATGATGGTGATGATGATGCTGATGATGATGCTGGTGATGATGCTGGTGATGATGATGATGATGATGATGATGATGATGATGATGATGATGCTGATGCTGTTGCTGATGCTGATGCTGATGCTGGTGCTGATGCTGATGCTGATGCTGCTGCTGCTGCTGCTGATGATGATGATGATGATGATGATGATGATGATGATGATGATGATGATGAGGGCGCAGGCCAGGGAGGGGTCGGAGGCGACGATACTGTCAACCCGCATAGGAAGGATGGGTAGCCTTCCCAAGGGTACCCTTTGCATCCTTGCCTCCTCGGCCACTCTCTGCGGCCGCGCCCCGCTCGAGAAGCGTCGACATGGCCCTCCAAGGCTCTTGCATCCTCATCGCGCATCCTCGTGATACGGGCTGGCTGCAGGGGCGAGCAGCCTCAGGAGCGGAAGAAGGACGTGCACGTACATGAATCCACCTTGGTTTCGAGAGCGCGTTTGCTCGTGTCACTCGGCCGGTCTCGCGGATCGAGGGGCCGCGTTCGTGTACATAGTTGGGCGCGCACGTCCTTCACGGGCTCCCTGTGGCCCAGGGGCGAACACTAGGCGTATCTAGTCACGAGGGGAAAAGCACACAGACACAATGAATCGTCGATTCCCAGGAAAATATGCGAACATATGGGAAGTTGGGGGGTAGACAGAAACCCAGAAAATATATGAAAATAT